CACACACACACACACACACACAAATAAATAAATAAATAAATAAATAAATAAATAAATAAATAAATACAATAACGAGAAACAAGCCTCCAAGTCCAGTGGTATAACTGGTATGAGAGAGAGCACAGTCACTAGTTGAAAGGACTGCATTGGAAGCAGTGGCCTGAGGGAGGTAATCAGGTTTCAGGTAAAGCAGGAAAGTGTAAGTAGCATTCAGAAAAAAATACATGAATAATTTTGATCCATTAATCAAGATTTACTAAAAGGTACTGAATTAGGCATTGGGAATAAAACAGTAATACAGACATAGTCTTCAGAAAACTGTAACTTAAGTAAGAAGTCCCATATAAAAGTGATTAATTGAAAAAATATAACTAAATTTCTATAACAAGTTAGCCTGTTATAAAGCAAGTTTAATTTTATTAAGAAATGAGACTGCATTAAATTTTATTTAAAATGAGGTCTCATATTTTGAACAGTAGTAAAATAAAATACATAATTATTTTAATATAGCTAGTCATTATGGTATTAATTATGTGCTAAAAACTAATGTGAATTAAGAATATCTGGGCCACAGTCATTTTTTAATGGTTAAAAAAAGAGAGAGGAAAATGGTAAGTATATGCTTTTACAGATACATGCAGAGTTACCTTAGACAAGGCAGCATCCCGTTCTTCTATTAGTGCACTCATTTCTTCTGCAGTTATTCTCATTTTACATTCCTTGGTCTTGTAGATTCTATCCACAATTATAGCTCCATTCTTCTGAATAGCTATCCCTGTGTCTGCATTGTTTATTCTGTTCAGTAATTCCTGTAATGTCTACCAACACCATTATATGTTAGTCAGACATGAAGTTTTAATATATTTTATTTAATATAGGGTTTTAATTAATAGGCACATGTGAATTGTAAATTGACTGAGTGAAGTTATTGAATTTTCATATTGCAGCAAAGATGTACATTATTAGTGTGTCAATTCTTCTTTTTCCCACATCTTAGTTCTTGAAACCCACTCAATTGAACTTAAGCCTCTAAGATATAAGACTGACATCAAGAAATCTCCTCAGAGAATGGCTTACCATGTCATTTTCTTCAGGGTTAATATTTTCTAGCCTAGAAAAAAGGGACACAGAAAGCCTGATCAGTAGCATTTCCTTAGTGCAGCAAAATGAGTTCGCTTTTTAAATCTTTAGAACCTCAAGTAATTTCATTCGACTAGTCTTTAGAGTCAACCATGACACTGAACATATTAAAGTGCCACCTGCTTGACTCCATCTTTCAATAATGCTCCATATCTTCTGCACTGACTTCAGACTGTTAAGTTATTAATGTTTACTGCTATATATGACTACAAGGATCAATTGTTCATATGTGCTTAGATGAAGAAAGTTCCCCAGTGATAAAAGCACTCATTCTCATCATTATATTTATTCCTGGACTTTCCATTTTTATCAGAAACTGTATTTCCTCTCTTTTTTTGGACACCATCATAAGTAAAACAAGGCAAGTATTTTTATTACAAAGTTTAACTATGTTCCCTCAAAAGCAATAACAAATAATTACACTAAATTTGAAGTAAAAACCTCTTGCTGTTACCTAGTTGTTATTATAAAACAAACATATAGGAAGGCTGACCAAAATTGTACCAAGTTTTTAGATGACTAATGTTATTTTCTTCTTCATAATGTATGTAGAATTATTCAACATAAGGACAAAAAATACAAATGGGCTCCCCTCAGAAATTCATTTTGTCTTTTAGGAGTCATAGTGGCTACTGAAATGTTTATTGATGTTGAGAAATTGAAGAAATGCAGTAAAGGTAAAGAAAGCAGTTTTAAATTACATAGAAAATGTCTATAATATAATTTAGACAACCATTCCAAGTACGTAAATTAAAAGTACATTTGTAATATGCATTAGTGAAAAGGTACAGATTCTAGAAAGGATCTCAATTATTTTAAAATTACATTTAAAAGTTTAGATATCCAAGTTTATGTTTTCTCAAGTTTTCCTCTGTTTCTGTGTTCCTATGATTTAACATTTACCATAAAAGAGGATACTAGCCAAAGATAATAGAAGACACCTAATAAATATACCACAAAATGGTTCCAAACTTCACAACTGGATAAAATTGCTACACTCATGGAAAAGCAGTACTTTTAGAACTTAGTATTTTAACAGAAAAAAATATATACACAAATATTAAAGAGCTATTTCTAGACATACTTAAATAGTATAAGTTAACAGGAATGTATAGTAATTTTAAGTTATATATAATTCAATGTATCTGAAACTACTAACGTCCACTTAGGTTTGCATTTCAAGAAGGGCAACTACTTTCATCTTTTATCTTTTTTTGTTCAAAATAAATGAACAATTTTCAATGATGCTGCCTAACAAAAGTTTGTTCTATAAGAATTGTGAAGATAAATTGTGAAACTTCTTTTCATCTCAATTGAAAAACCTAACAGAAAATTATAAGATAATGAAATTCTTACATTTATCTTTATCATAGTGAAAATATTTGAAAAAAATGAGTGGCATTTAACCAGCAGTAATTGGTTGGCTAAATACGATTTTTAAGGAAGTTATATGTGGTGAGAAATATTTATCTTATATTATCTTTTATTGTCATTCTTTTTAGGTAAAATCAAAGTAACATCTAATTATGACAGCTACCCAATAAAATCCAATTAAAATGCTTACAAACTTCACAATTACCTTGTTAAACTTGATAATTTAAAATGTGAACAGATACAGGACAATTAAACATTGAGACTGGTAGATTCCTCTGGAACCTTTGCAATAACAAAAGACATTTAGTTACCAAGGTTATAAATCTCTATTTTTAGTTTCAAAGAATTTTATATGACCAGGAAGGAAATAACAGTAAGTTACCTAGTCTGTATATTCCAAATAATCAACACACACAAAAAAAGTGTATGGAAGTTCTATATAATATTTATAGGTTGTCTTCAGGCATTGCAAGGTAAAGCATTACTTTAAGGAGAGGAAGGTGAAGAGTTCAAATGTTTTAAATTAACAGCTTTCAATAAGAAAGGTTTAAGATCATTGTATTTAGTCTAATATTAAAATTCCCTACTAATTTAAATTTTTTTTAAATCAGAATCAAAAGTTCTTGTCAAGGGCTATTCCAGATCCCTGGCACATGAATTTAGTATTTAGACTTTAAATAATTTGTGTGATTGCTGCTAAAAGCACACAATATATACTGACTTGTCATTTTGCTGATAAATAAATTCAAATTATGTTTTTGGTAAGGCTACTGTACTAGGTCTGACACACAGGACGTAAGTGAGTTAAGTGAGTCACTTAGCATTTGGATCTCAATCTTGCTTTGTTATTATTCTTTATAATTGATATAAGTATAGTGATAAATGGCCATCAAAAGAAAAATATAACTTTAGTCAAAATGAAAAAATTATTACTTCGAGATTTGAAAATTTGCATAGATACAAGTAACTTTCAACACAAACATGAGTCTGGAAAGAAAAAAGTCAATACTTGTATTTCTCTACTTGTATTTCTTTAAAAGTTTCAGGAAATATCACAGATATCACAGATTTATCAAAGAAGATTATGTCATAATTTAGTCTCAACTAGATTATATAGAGTAGAGATCAGCCAAGTTTTTCTGCAAATGGCCAAATAGTAATTATTTTAGGCTTTACCATACGCTCTCTATCATAGCTACGAAATTCTGCCTCTGTAGTACAAAAGCAGCCATACACAATAAGTGATCAAGTATAGTTGTATCCCAATAAAACTTTATTTACAAAACAGGTGGCAGGCCGAATTTCAACATAAGTTCTTACTTTGCAAATCCTTGATATAGAGTGTTGGAAAATGAGACTAGATCTTTGATGTTAATGCACTGTAAGTGCCAATTTAAAATATTTGACATAATTTTCTAAGCTAGATCATTCAATATCTAAAGATTAAGAATCCACAAAAATAATTTTCAGAAAATGAAAATCAGGTCTACAATAAGTATATCTCATACTGTGTCACTTGAAACAACACAAAACTTAGACAACTTGTCTTTTCAGAAAAGAGGTGATTTGAAGCAGCTATACATGGCTTTAATTTTCTGTTTAAAAAGACTTTGGGGAAGGTACTAAGGTTTACTAGTGGTATGTACAACACGTAACACTTTACTGATTTAAATAAAGACTTAAAATAATAGTTGGTGTTATATGAAATATATCCGATGAACTATAAATTATATCTCATTAATATGAGGTTTACAATTAGACAAAAGAATTTCAACCTTTTGTAAACTTTAAATTATGCCTGCAACAGTCTAACTTGACACAGTCATGATAATTAGTAAGAATTTTGCTGAAGTAAATGTCTATGGGCTCAAGTTTCAATTGATTTCCTATATCATGCAAATTCTGACTGACATCCTTGCACTCTAAGTGAAAAGATCCATGCGTGAAATGTCGCATTTCTTGATTTATCCCTAAATCAGTCAATATCACCTTTCTCTTTTCTGAAACTATAGTCATTCACCTTGTTCAATCCTAAGATGCCAAACGTTGACCTCAAATGATAAATAAATTTCAAATTTTTCTGAAAATTATAATTTGTTTGCTTTTATTCTAATCAGAAAACTCTGATTTGTTTGCTTTTATTCTCTCTCATTTTCTACACACCACCACACTTAACATGTTTAAAAAGTACCAACAATAGCAAAGAGACTGAAAAAAAAGGTATCATGATCTGAAAAGCTGAAGTATACAAATGCAAACATGTATAAGAGTATGTATATTTAGGTAATTTTAACTTGAATTCTTTTTTATTTTTTTCCCTAGTTTTCGATAAAAGCCAAAAAAGAAACAGAAAAAACATTAATGATCCAAGGGGTAAAGCAAAGCAGAGAAAGGCAGAATAAGACAAAGCAGACACTGTAACAGAGACACAACGTAGATCAGAAGTAGCAAAGCACATGAGAGAAAAGAGACAACAAAGAATCTGAAGATTATAGGAAGCAAGAAATTAGGAATTTTTTTTAAAAAAGATGTGAACAATTTATATAATTTTATCATACACTAGATGCCCCCACATATACCTTTCAGTCAAGCAAAACCAGTTATGTATTGGTCCTGTTATCAAGATGTAGTCTAAAACACACTCTTGACGGTTCAGAACCTATAGATTCAGCAGAATAGAAAAGAACCTCACCAAACCACCTGATACTATGCTGACATAATATTCTTTGTTGCTGTTGTTTTTCTTGCTTGGTATGTGTGGCCTTCCCTGACTCTTCTCCCTACCTGAACTCCTAGACTCTGATACAGAAGGAGTCCCTCTTATAAGCTGTTTCTAGGAACCAAAAATTTCTTCAAATTAACTGTTAATTAATTGTTTTAAGTATTTATATGATTACTTACTTACTTAAGTCAATTTGACCATAATGCTGTGTCCCCAGCAACTAGCACTGTACCTGACACAGTACAGTCAATAGTTACTGAATGAATTAATTAATTAAAAGAAAAGGCTGAAATTGAATGCATTCCTTTTCTCCCATTCCCATTCTTCCCTTAATACTAATGATCTAAAAGACAAAATGAAAAAGATTCTGTCTCAAGGAACACTAATTTCAATATACTTTAATAAAAACTGTAACAAATATATGTATAAATTAAAGTAGATATGCAATGAAGGGTAAAAAATAGGAAAGAATGATAGGCTCAATTTAAATATTTTAGTTAAAGAGACAGAATAAACCAAATAAGAGATCAGTTTAATAGCAGTTCTGAGGAAGAAGCTTTGGCTTGGATATGTAAGAAGATGGTTGTAACACTGATCAGGATAAGGGATTAAGGAGGAGGATCAGGTTTTAAGAATGAATGAATAAGTTTCATTTTGGATATGCTAAGTTTGAGTTGCTTGTGTAAATCTGAGGTAGACATTCTGACAATGTGTAATTGACTGACTGTGAGTCTTTGGCCAAGTAGTCTAGCCCTGTAAGCTTTTCATCTATAAAACATGAATATACCTATTTCCAAAGAGTTGTGACATTTTATGAAAAACTGATTTGTTGTCTTTTGGAGGTCAATTTGATTTTTGAAAAGCATAAAAATCTT